TGTGTTCATGTGAGTGTGTGTGTGTATGTGTGTTTGCTTTCTAAAATTTGCTGCTCTGCCACACAGGCTGTCCTTGGTATATATTTGCTAATTTCTCTCTCTGTCGATGTGTAAATTTGTTGCTTGTGATTTTATTTTTATATTTGATTTATCAAACTCAGCTGGTCCACTGCCTTGAATTCAATTCGTCACTTTAATCTTGTTGCTAATATTGTAGAACGTAGCTCCGTTTTTTTCTCTTTAACTGCTAGAAAAATATAGACTTAACTTATTTTTTTCAAAGTTTTGTAGACATTCATGAAATTATGTTACTTTAAAAACAACAACATTGCTTTCTTCTACGTGTTCTTAGTACAGTTAAGTCGAAAGAGGATTCACTCTCTCCCAATGCGTGTTTCCAAAAGATATTAATGCATCTTATAAACTATATGCACCAACATATCTGAGAAGAAGACGTTGCATTATGCCAAGCAGTTTGTCTTGTTTTTGTTTTTGTCTACGACCTTTAAGAAGATAGTATTGGTACTCACACTTTGGCATTAAGGCCTTTACCTTGAGGATGAACCAAAGACCCACCGAGCTTTTTTTGGGAACATCCCCTTCATCTATTACACTTAATATAGATCAGATAAATTTTTACCGAATGTGGTGTTTTTATAATATGGGCCAAACACTCATTGTGGTACAGTTATGTTGTGCTCCAAAGTGTCCAATTTTTAAGACTGGCCCGTTGGGATTCAAACAAGGGTCCACCGGACTGCCACCTATGTCCATACGTTTTGATTAGCTATGTTGGTGTCTTGATATACTGTGATGCGGAAGACCGTGGTTCTAATCCCCAATTGGGAGTTCTTGACCTTGGATTTATTTGGGAATTTTTCAAAACTTAAAACTATAGTAAATCAAATTTAGTTGATTTTACGCCCTCATCGACACAAATATTGAGATAATTTAGGAGGTGGGCTGCTTCGACCCTGCATTCCAGGACCAGCCCAGGCTGAGAGGGATACATCGCCAGAAATACCAAGGTACTCGATTAAAACTTCCTTCCGCTCGGGAATCGAACTCACGTCTTTCGTGTGCGATAGCGAAGCGTCTATTCTGTACACTACACACGTGATCTGTTTACTTAGCCTTCTTCTGTCTGGAACGGACGTTGCATTCGGATTCCCAGCTCTAAAACAATCTCCCAGAGCTATCAGTCGGTCAATGGCCACATTATAACATACTTTGTAATATGGCGGCATTCCCATTCCTGGCATGAGAGTAGTTGAGATGTGAGATAGCTTGGGATATATTTTATTTTTTCCTTGTCTGACGTCGGTGTACAAATGGGATTTTCATAACTCTCTGGGGTTCTTTATGAAAGCTCTATTGTTGATAGTCATTTTCCTGTACGAACACCATCAGTATGTGAGCACACTGCTACGGTTTGTTCCTATCTGCCATTATTCTTTTTGGAATCCCCAATTAGTACAGCTATCATAGTATGTAGCGTTTAATAATAGAAAGCATTTGTATTGCGCAAATTTTTCGCTCAACAGCGAGCACTTTACGCTTTACAGCCTATATTATTACCCCAGTAGACCAGATAGCATTCCGAAATAATCTCAACTTCTTGGGAAGCATTCAGTGCAAGCTGCCATTTTTATAGGCACTAAAACACTAACATACTGACAATCGGTACCCATTTTCACCTTGATGAAGTGAGGTAAATTCGTGTAAAGTGTCTCTCCCAAGGGTACTACGTTGGGCCTGAGGCTCGAATCCCCGAACCAGCAACCTCATGATTATGACTGCGTTCGCCCTGCCCCCATTTCCTACTTTTTTTTAGAGATAAATGTATTTTCTTATTGATTGTAACATAAAGGTTGTTTTATTTTCTATTTTCTATTTAGGAAGTATATTTCCCACACAAAAAGCGACTTTGTTTTTGGATTTGCAAAGCCAGTCGAAGGAACTATGTTCTTTATACTAGTATCAATTTCATTACATAACTCCTAAAGCATTATTATATCACTCAATTTATTCGCAGTACCGGACAAGGCCGCCACTGAGGGCAGTGACCGTCTGCAGTCGCTCATATCCAAGTATCGCAGCCACAGTGAGAAAACGGAACAGCAGCAGCAACTGCAACAGCCACGGGTAGTAAAACCACTACCCGGATTCGTGGCGTCCAAAATCGTCTCGAAGAACCGGTTCGGCTCCGGCGGTTCCACGACTCCGAAAGCACCAATGAGACGCACCAGTGACCCGACCTCCCCTTCGGAGACGCCCATATCGCCTCTCGCCAAGCAAGACGGGGACACGCCCACTCCCATCATGTCCTCGCGACCGGCGAAGAAACTCCCCCCTCCCCCACCGCCTCCCAAACCCACCTCAAGTAGCCACGCCTTGAAGTCGCCTTTCATGCAGACTCTATCTTCCGAAAGTGCCAAAGTCACATCTACTTCTTCATCAACCACTCCTACAAGACAGCAACCTCAGACGCCGTTGAGAGCAAGCAGCAACACGTCTCCTCTGTCTTCCTTACGTGCCTCGTCCATCCCAGTGCCTAGACCAGCTTCCCCAGCCATACCCGCCTCCCCTGCCAACGGCACGCCCCCCAGTAGAAGTCTGAGCAGCTCAGGACTTGGACATTCAGCATCGAGCGCCGAAGCCCTCAACGACAGTTCTGAGCAGAAAGATATTAACGCCCTCATACAAAAGTAAGTATGCTCTTGCACGTAGAGATTCTGTCGTTTCCCTCTTGGATATATACTATTGTATAAAATCTCATCAATAATATCCTCCGTGAATTGTTTATTTTCATAGTGACATGATATTACTCTAGATCACCTCTCCTATGCCATCATGTCTTGTACTGTCTTCCCCATTGAATATATTTACTGGCTGTTCATATATTGTTTTGTATCATAAATGTTCGCATGTCGACATTTCTTTGTCAATTAATGCTTTAGGATTTGTATGTAATAATATATTTTTAATGTTTATGAATGTACAGTAATTTTAGGTACCACACGGGGTAAGGTTTTATTTTCCCCTTTTTTTAAATGATTCAGTAGGACCCAAGTTCAACGACAACAGGAAGTCGCAAAGGGTTGTACAATTCTTGATGGGGCCGCTTATAACTGAACGTTATTATTTTAGGTGTACTAGAGGAACAACGAAAGACTGCTCTGAATACAGAAAAGATATTTTTAAAGAAATAGATGTATCAAGTAAATAAAGTATAATTTACATTATTTATTTTTGTTTAATTCAAAGACAAGGAAAATAACTCCATTTTATTTCCGTAGTGTAGTACTGTTTTCTCTGAGGTTGAAATAATGCAAGCATATGAGGAATAACTTTGCCAGGTGTTGTAAGACTATTGTTTACGCATGTTGGAACAATTATCGTTTCACTCCTTCCGTGTGCCGAGTACTGCCCTCTCTGTTCTAGCTTCTGTGGACCTTGCTTTTTCTCTAGCTTACAATACAGTTGTGTTACAACAACCCACCTGCCCTCTCCCTTTCATTTTCTTGTGTCTTTGGTTTTCTTTTGTTTTGTTTTTCCTTAAAGCGAAACAAAATATTTGAATGTTTTGACTCCACCTAGTGTGATTGCATGAAACGCACATTACTGACATGGATAGGGCTAGACTACCCCATTCCCAATCCCCCCAATTCACCCCCCCCCCCTCTTCCCGGTCCACTACGACCCGTTCTAGTGGGCTGTAGGTGTCAACAATCCACGCCCAAACAACATTGCGTGCATCTCATATGTCACAAATTGGCTGATATAAAAAATCCATTTTTGCCCTCTATATCTGTTCTTCTTTTTATTTTCGTTACTCTGTCCAAAATGGGTACAGTCTTCTCTACCCCCCAAAAGGATCCTCATAAGGCGTCGCTGGCGTTTGAAATTTATTAAGGCTGTACGCTCAAAGTGAGACAAACTATAGCTAAACAGAAAATAATTAATAAGCAAGTGTCATGAAATACGTTATGGGCCAGTGCCTTTGACATTGTTTTTCGAGGAAAAGAACGTTTTTGACTCAGATATCGAGAAAAATTCTCAAGGAATATTTTCATAGATTTTACTAAGTGTTTCCCCACAAACATTGGCCCGCTTGACTTTCTCTGAAATGTGGTTCTAGTCACGGCGAAAGAAAAACGGGCCTTTTATATGATAAACACCCTATATTAAGTGCCAGGGTACAATTTGAATTGAACTGAAAAAAAAAATCAGCCTCTTTTCGAATGACGATGGCACTCAGGGTGGTATTACGAACATAATATAGTAATATGGGTTGGGGGGGAGGGGGGGGGGGGTAATTACCGTCTGGTGTTGTTTTAAATGTCTTGTTTAAAGCACTCATCTCTACTTTCTCCCCCCCCCCCCCCCAAGATAGTATGTTATACGTATACGATTATTATATAAATAAGTATCTCATTAAATAAAAAATAAGCTGCTTGATATTCCTGGTTCATTCTTCACCAATCTTGGGGCTGTGCGCTTAGCTCAGACCAGATCAACATACTAGTTCATTCCGTACATTCTTTGAAATGTCTATTCATCCTCATCATTATATTCGACTTCTGAGCTTTCTTTAAACCTTGTCATTAAACCTTGTCTCTACTTTGTCAGTACTTTCTGTTAAAATACCATCATCCCCACACTCTTCCCTGAATAGTATCGTGTCTTCCTGTTGCCCGTACAACTGTAATGTATTTGTTTCTCTGATCAAAGGAATTTGCAAGACAGGTATGTTTTTATTTTTGTTTTGTTTTTGTTTATAGTAAAAATAGATTTTATACGATGTTTTATTATTTTTTAAAAAGCACCTTTTTAAACCATTTTACTTTCCTTTTTTGGCTTTCCTGTAGTTAGTTCTTCGTTTCATTTTAGAAATTTAAATCTCAGTTTCTTTATTTCACCATCTTTTACTTTTATGTTTCAGTTAGAGTTGACATTTCTTTTACGTTGAGATACTTTTATAGACGCAAGGATTCGAAAGCCTTTCTTCATTGATCATTATGTTGGTAGTTACTGATTTTGTTGTTTGGAACTGGGAAAGGCACACAAAATGAGCCATTTCTTCGCTGTCCCCAGCTATAATTTCTTTCGATATGAAAGCGCAAACTGATTTCTCTCACGATTATTGATTCTCAAGTAATTATTCATTATGCATCTTAAACATCTCTGTGTTAGTGAATTGATAATGTATAATTGTTGTAAACCTTTTAGTTTTATACTCATAAGGAAACACAATTGGACATTGATGTTGCTATGTGGCGTGAAAATAATTGCTGAAGACAGGCGTTCTAGTTATTTCATTTCTTTTTCGAAATGATTTTCGATACCATTCGTGATTTCCCCGCCTCCACTCACCTCACCCCCATTTCTTTCTATAAAATATAATAATGTATACACCAAAAACAAACAAACATAAAACAACAAGAAAAAGGCCACAAAAAACGACCTGTAGAATGATAGATTCCATTAAAAACTTTATTATGCTCAGATTTCAGGGGTTATTTTCTACATGTCGACAGACGACGCAGCTAAACATACTTTTGGCCGTACGCACTTAAGTACTTTTGCGAGCTTATGTGCGTCAAGTAAATGCAAAATGGCACAGAAAGAGGGAGAGAAAAAGAAAGGGAGAGAGAGGGAGAGAGAGAAAGAGAGAGAGAGCGAGGTGGGGAGAGAGAGGAGACGAAGAGAGAGAGAGAGAGAGAGGGAGGGGTGGGGAGAGAGAGGAAATAGAGAGAGAGAGGGAGGGGTGGGGAGAGAGAGGAGATGAAGAGAGAGAGAGAGAGAGAGAGAGAGGGAGAGTGAGAACGAGAGGAGGAGACAGAGAGGGTTGGGAGGGGGAGAGAAAAACGGAGGATGGGGAAATGGCAGACGTGAATGATTTCATACTTTTGGTTTCTGCTACCACTTCGTTTTTTTCCCCTTTAATCGCCTGTTTATTGTGTTTGAACAAGTAGACACGTTCACCCTTTTGAATGTGTTCTCGTCTATGTGTCTTCCTCTTTGTCAAAGTAGCTGCTGGCCTTTCCATAGCACCATGCGAGATAATTACAATGCATAGTTATAACGATGCTAATTATGATGATGATGATGATAATGATAATGATAATAACAATAATAATGGTGATGATTTTGATGATGATGATAATAATAATAATAATGATAATAATAATAATAAATAATAATAATAATGATAATAATAAACAAAAGAGTCATTAGTAATAATAGATCGTCAATATGTCTGACGATAAGATTGGTAAATGTTTCTTAAAGAGAAAAAGAAGAAATGAAGATCAAGAATGAGGCGAGCTGACAAAATGAGTCACTTCTTGCAATCCACAAATGGAGATAGTGGCCAAAAATTGACACTAGGGTGAAATTTGTCGATTTTCCTTTGATGTCATATTTTGAAAGTACAACATACCTTTTATTATTTCATACTTATAAATTGTAAAAAAAACTTCATGTATAAGCGCGATGTATCTACTTCCAAATGGCTCAAATCCGAGAAGTGACTCATTTTGTCAGCACGCGTCGCATATGACTTTTGGCTTTTGTATTTCTCACGAGTTTACCCCATCGTATAGAAGCTAAAAGTGTTTTGGAAAGCAGTTATAGAAGCAGTTGATTTATGTGGGTTTTGGAGTTGTTTTGTTTTGTCTGTTTGTTTTGTTGTGGTGGGGCTTTTTTTTTGGGGGGGGGGGAGTGTTATTCTTTTCTTTTTGTTTATTTCTTTCTTTTCCTTTTTTCTTATTTGTGATGTAGGAATTTTACGCCTCCATTGACACAATTCAAATAATTTAGAAGACGCAGGTCGACCCTGCTGAGAGGTATACAATGTGCCAGCAGAAAGAGTGAGATACTCGATAAATATTCTCCCCACAAACGAATCGAACTCAGGTCTGCTGCGCGCAATAGTAAAGTGCCTAACTGCTACACCGCAGACACTTGTCTGGAGACGTATAGAAAAGGATAGGCATTAGAATTGAGCGAAAATATCGAGAGAAATAATCCCCAGCAGGGGATACAAGAGTACTTTTAATTCTGAAAAGAGAAAGATGTGAACCACATTACTGTGGCCTTGGGACCCATTTGTAGCTGACATGCCGATATTTTATTTTGGTTTGTTTCGGATTTATTTTGTATCCTAGAGATAATTGTGCTTCCTGGGATTTTTTTGCAAGAAATTGCAACCCTCCCATTAAAAAGAGAACAAACTCTCTAACCACCCTATCCGCACGTCGTGTTTTACTATCGTATCCATATTATCATACAACGTGGGGAAGCCTGTTCCACCACTTTAATCAAGAAATTAATCAAATGAAGGGACGATATTATATCGTGGTTGAAAGTAGATGCGTCTTTAATGTACATGTACACCGAAGAAATGTTCGCCCTGTTGCTTTAATTGATCGTAAAGAAAAGAAAGAATGCGTTGGTTAGACTTTCTGGGTAAAGCGTCAGAACGTAGTATGTATCTGGATATAAAATAAACATGGGCGATCATGGTCAGCCTCTTTGTTCTCTGTCTGTATGCTTTTAAACATAATACTATCCTCGTCCATGATGTCAGTCACGTGTTAATTAGCCCAAACTCGCAGAATCGAAGCTCTTCATAAAGAGACCATAAACCATCGCTCTGTCTAACTGACTTATAAGTGCTAGATCTAGCGTACTCTAATGGTCC